GAGGGGAAGATAATGGAAAAAAAAGAATTAAGACATATTATCCACAGGCACAAATTCCCTATGATGAATGTGATCATTATGTATGGCAAATATGTACAAATAAAACTAAATTTTAAAAAATTATGTAGGGGTTATACACATAATTGTGTGGCACCAGAATCAAGATCTGTGAATTCATCTACTGCTAAGCTCTCCACAGCTGCAATGGGTGTGGAATCACCTAAATGCTACAAGAGTAGATTCTGCAAAGGCTCTTGTGAGTCTTGTATCCACTCACACTGTAAGTATGTATGCAGCACATGCCACGGATAATGCACAGAAAATGCCAGGCAAGGACCCTGCTCTTGTGAATTATACACTGCAGGGTGGAATACAGTCGGTGAACAAGTAAGGAAATAACAACTCTGACACTGTGAGATACTGATAAAGGCCATCTGAATAGAAAACACAAGGATGGAATTGTGAGAGGGCACAATGTAAGAGGAAGAGGTGCTAACATATGAATCAGCATGACAAGATAGATATTCACATGCAGACTTTTCAGAAAGGCATTCCAACAGAGGGGCAGCACCAGCAAAGACCCTGAGGGAGAAACCAGACTGGCAGATATGAGGAACAGCCCAAAGGCCAATGTGGCTGAGAGTGTGAGGGGCAGCATGGTAAGAGATGAGGTTGGAAATCTGGAAAGCACTGAAAACAAAACTTCAACAAAAATTCTGGATTGGAAAAGCATTCGGGAGTTTTAAACAGTGGAGTGACTGGATCTGATTTGTTTCTATGAGGTTCTGTATATGTCCCACTGAAGCCAGATATGTGTGCAGGAAGGCATCAGGCAGCCAGCTTTGGTAGACTGCTCTTCCTTGCAACCCAAAAAGCCGGCCTCAGAGAAAGCTACCTCAGCAGCTGCGAACAGGGAGTGGGAGTAGCAAGCCATGCCTGTGGATATACCCTGAAGCCTGCAGGAATTCAGGCTCCAGGATGCAAAGTTACCAACAGACCACTCAGAAGTAGGATAGGATCCTGCAACCAGCTAGCCCATGACTATCCTTCGCAGAAGCAGGCTAGTAATGATTTTCTTAGAAGGACTCATAAAGAGGAAGACAATGGAAATCTGAAATTTGCTATCTGTAAATTTAAAGGTTGTCAACAACCTATTCTAAAAGTGAATTTTAGGTTCATTTTTTAAATCCTGGAGGCATTTTTCCAAAACAAAAATGCAATAAGGAGGGTGATGGTCTCAGAACACCCCACAGGAATCCATTCACCTCTAAAGGCATCTGGGGCTTCAATGACTTTTTTCACTCTTTTCCTCACTGACGAACTCACAGTTTTATAAACAATTTCCTGTCAAAAGAGTAAAGGAACCTTCAAATAGGATTTGGGGAGCTAGAAGACATTTTAATGTCCATCCCCTACATCAGGAGCCAAGGATACCATAGGTCCAGAAGGGATTCTCTCTTTCTTTAGTCTCTTCCTGTCCTAGGTCCTCCAATTCCAAGACACTTGGAGCCACTACAGCCCAGCCAGGGCATAGCCAAAGATTTCAAACACTGAGGAAGCAACAAGCTGGGGTTAAGGAGTGAATGCCACTTAGAAAACAGATGACATCACTTGAAACTAGATAAAAATCCTTCCAAGAGGGCTAGTGTGCAACTTAAGAGAGAGTTGCTTTTATAAAACTATTTTTAAATTGACAAAATAATTGCACACATTCTAGTATCCCTAAGAAAAACTAAGGCATTTAGCACCCTTCCCCTGAAACACTCCTTTTGTGGTCCCAAGACTCTGGCCAAATCAAGAGAACACTGTAAGCAGACAGAGACAGGACTGCCCAGATAAAAAGCACCTGAAGGACACTGGGAACTGGACAAACTAGTTCTATCTGTAGAACCTATCTTCATGCCCACAGGCTAAGTCCTTGAAATGTTGGTCATACGATGGAGCAGTGCAAGCCAATGATATCACCGCTTATGTAGTTCAATCTATAAAACCCTCTCTCTGTCGTAACTGGGTGCTATAGCCAGCCAGCTGCCAACAGACACTCTTGACTACTTTCTGGTGAATGCTTGTCCAGCCCGTTACCGCCTCCCAAAGGGTACTACTGTTAAGTATGCACCTCTCGTGGACTTCCTGGGTGACACCTGTAGAGTTCGCATCCCTCATGATTTGCCAAGCAGGGCTGTGTTGGGTGTGCACCTCTCCTGAAAATTTCCCTGAATGGTGCCATTGCTGAGTGTGCACCCTTTGTGCATCTTCAAGTAGAGGTACTGAACTCCTACTTGCTTCTCCTGGACCTCCTTCCCTGTTAGCATCAACTGACCCTATATCCTTTTCAGTAAATCACCTTATCTATCAAAACCTGGCTCTAGGTACTTTTTTCAGTCTCTCAACAACCTACTCCACTGCCCCTGCATCACTGGGCTATGGACAACATTTTTGAGGTCTAATCTGATAATCTGATACATGTGTGCAATGTGATCAACCCAGGAGAAAGGGCTGCCTTTGAATAAGGCTGCTTCATGGGGCATGGACACAGCTGGTGCTCATTGTCAGTTGTGAAGAGGAGCGAACTGCAGGACTCAGTAAGCAACAACAGGGCATTTGGTACCTGCGACACTTGGTTTTCCTAAAAACCTTGTGCTAAAGGAGGACTTGCAGGTATGGTGGCATTATCTTAAATTACACAGTAAGAAAGAGCAGTAAGGGGGAGCACTAGTCCACCCATGTGGACTGGTGGAATATGCTTAATTATCTCCACTCCAATTGATTTAAGAGCTATTTCTGTTTTTGGTTTTTTTTGGTACCAGGGATCGAACTCAGAGACCTTGCACTTGCAAGGCAGGCGGCGGAACCACTGAGCTAAATCCCCGGCCCCTAAGAGCTGTTTCAAGAGCATCCTGAAAAGGCCCACAACCAGCTTTGGCTCAGAGCATTCAAGCTGAATCTGAGGAAATGGAACTTTAGCTACCATAAGAAACCCTTCTGTACACTGTAGGCTCCGTGTGTGCATTTGGGGAGGATCTCGCCAAGAATCCTCACCCAGAAATGTATTTCACAGTGTTGAAGTTTTTAAATCAAAAGCAATCCCAAACCAGAAATGGTGAGGTATGCCTGCATTCCAGCACTGGGGAGGCTGAGGCAAAAGGGTGGCAAGTTCAAGGTTGACCTGGGCTACAGTGTGAGACCTTGACTCAAAAAAACCAAAAACAAACCAAGATAAGCAGTGCTTCTTTTTTCCTCGATTTAACTTTTTTAATGTACCAAATCAAAGCTCTGTAAGTAAAATGTAGATTTCACAAAAGGCACAGCCCTTGCACCACACAGCTTAGAGCCATGTGTCAAGACGTACAAATCTAGAGCCCTATCACCAAGCCGCTGAAACAACTCCAAGAGACAGGACCTGCAAAGAGGCATATTGAATAGTGTTCCCAGGCAACTCATCTTCACATTAAAGTTTAAGAACCTTATAATGCAAAGAACCAGAATTTGGAGAGAGATAGCAAAGGTTTCTTCGATGCTAGATATATGCACAAGCCCTGCTGGCTCTCAGGAGCTTCCAATTAAAAAAACCCTTTAAAATAGAGGGAAAATACCTAACTCATCACAGTTACTGTGTCAGATGAATGTACACTTAAACGTACTTGGAAAGGGTAAAGGGCTAGACAAATATTATTCATTCAAAATACGCACTGAAGGGCTAGGGACATAGCTCTCTGATAAAGTACTTGCCTAGCATGCACTAAGCTATGGGTTCAATCCCCACCACTGCCAAAACAAGTGTGTCACTGGGTAACAAGACAAAAAACAAAAAGTTAGAAGAGCAAAACATACATATGTGTACAATGAAATGAATTGAGGGCCACAATAGTACGGTCTGTACCAAAGGGGCAATAGGTCCAGGGAGGAAGCTATGATTAATGAGGTACTGATAGGCCCCAGATCGTCACAGCAACAAACCAAACATGAATGCAGCAAGGCACAAGATCAAAAAAGGCACTGCCAGTGTGTTCAGCCTTGTCACACAGCAACCTCATGAAATACACAAGCCTCAAAGAAAATTCAAGTCTTCATGAAAGCCATATCCAGACTCTAATCCTATCTCCAATGCATTAAAAACAAACAAACACCTATTCATTACACACTGGGTGCCACAGCTGTGAACTTCCTTCACTGTTTCAGTAAACCCCACAATGACTGAATGACACTGATGTGATGCTTCCTCATATAGATCAAAAAGAGCTCCAGGCCAAGGGAGCCTGAACTCAAGGGCAGACCTACAACTGTGGAGCATCTACCTTTTGTTAGAACACCCACATCCCAGGAGTTCATCCTTTTTAAAGAAATTTCTATTATGGTCAGTCAGCTGAGACCTCAAGACACTCAGCCAAGTTAAATATCCTTTTGTCATGCTGACCTGAAGGACATTTTAGGAGAATCAGGGCAGCGAGACACACAGCAGCACCTTGTTAGAGATATCTGTCAAGTAAGTGTTTACTCTTCTGTTTACTTGTGTTTCTGATTAATAATATGAATGCTAATCAGCTAAACTGTATTCAGTACTTAATTCCCTGATAGGCATTATGCTAAGATGTCTATATAGATTGCCTCACCAGGTAGGTGCTGTTAACTAACCCCATTTTACAGATAAGAAAATGGAGGCACAGGAGTTAAGAAACTTAAACCATTCATTCCGCTGTTCTGCCACTCTGGCCACTAGCCTCACCTGATTTGACTTAGTCATGTCACAAGACTCCTCCCTACCACACAAGTGTCTCAAGATTTCTACACATAAAATTTCCTAAGTACACAAATGATATGACTATTGGTAATATAATTTTAGCAATCTTACAATATTAGTTTTCATTTAGTAAAATACATAAGGCTTTTTATCTAATAAATTTCCTGGAATCCTTTCCAGCACCATTTTTCTAATTCATGTACATATGTGCTCATCCCCTGGTGAGTGCTCTCCCCTCCCCACCTAGACTCAGTCTCCTCACCTTCGGCTGTTTGACCTTCTCTTTTCAGCATCTGGACAGCTCCTACATATTTCTTCAGCTGGACCTTAAGCACCTCGTTTTCTCTGCAGGTACAAGAATGTTAAAAAAAACATATTTAAAACTTGGCAAGTTAGGCCTGAAGAGGGGAAGGGGAGAAGTCTATGTAAAGAAAAGCACATGGTGTGCATCTTATAAATATTAATATATTCTCATATTTCAGAGATCATCACTGAAGAAAGCCAGGTCACCAAGGATGTGTTTGTGGGATACCTTTAAGAATTTTCCTTTCACAAAGGGACTAACTGGTTCCACTACCTACAGATTTAGAACACAACCACATGCTGTACTCAGGCTGTTTGACTCTACCAATCTTTAAGTGCCTATTCAGTAACAGGCATTCCGCAATGGTATCTCCATTTTCAGGGGCATACTAAGCAGCCACTGTGCACTTACCTAGGGAATATTTTTATCAACTATCACATGTGTTAAACACCATTTGCCAAGCATCATGTCAAATGCTTATACATCATCTCACTAACTCTTTCCCAGATACTGACACAACTCCCATTTTATAGCTGAGTAAACTAAAGCATAAAAAGAAGCAAATCAGAGGACCAAATCCCCCACCCGAACCCCACATAAGATTATACCATGAAACACAAAACCCAGACTAAAACAAGAGCCTGCCTCCTGACTCCACTTCCCAGGCACACTGGCTGAGGATGAAACATGAGGATCAGAAGAAAACTATCATTTGTTGAGTATTTTTCCACATAGCTTAGACTTCACATGATCACTGAGTCATGCATGGCTGCCTGCATTCACCCTTCCTTCATTAGGTAGAAACATACAGGGAAGGAGATGAACAGATAGGCTCTCTGACCAGGATCACATGGCCAAGGTCACCAGAAAGACACAATGCCAAGATCTGAACCCTTGTGTTTCTTCCCCCTAAGACTCAAAAGAGCTTTTCTCTCTTTGGGAATTCAAATTTGATCTTTCACAAGCTATCCCTAAGAGAGGTGCCTCCCCTAAATTCGGTTTCTGCCCTGCCACTTTCTACTTCAGTTCTTTTGCTTCAGTTCCTTTAAACAAGCTGGAATATTTTGTCTTTCCTCACAATGAAAACAGCTCGACAGGGTTTCTTCTGTGATTACCTGGGGTGGGGTTGGGGGGACTCATTGCAAAATACTCAGTGGAACATACTTAAGAAGTAAAAATCAGCGAAAACCCAATACCTTTCAATAAATCTCTAATGGGTTTTTATATCTGCCCTATCACATTCCTCTCTTGGTACATGTTATCATTTGTATCTAGATGTCCCCCAAATCCTCATGCAGTCAGAGATGGCTGGATCTAGCCTGTGTGATTACTAAATTAGTCCACTGATTGGCTTGGCATAGTTCTGCTGGGATTGAGGATGTGATGCCAGGATTAAGGGTGTAAGTGTTACCTGCCCTAAGGGTGGGTAGCCTGGATAAGATATAAGGGACCAATGAGGGTTGTTGATCGATTGCTTACTTTTGCCCACCATGAACTGTTTCTCCTCTGCAACGCCCCTCTGCCATCCCACCCTGCCTTGGAGTCAGCTAACTATGGACTGAAACCTCTATAAACTGTGAGCCAATAAACCTGTCCTCCTTTAACTTTGAGTGTTGGGTAAGTACACACATACAATCTAAATATAATTTTCCATGGATGAAACATCCTTCACACTCTTTAATATTTTTAGTTTGTTTGAGATCTTATTCCCTAGTTTACTGATCCACTCACTGGTGCCCCAAAAGAATCAAATGCAAAAGCCTGGTAAGTACATGTCATGTCTCACTTTACCAAAGTAGGATCATATTATAAATTCTTCTGTAACTAAGTTGTCTCGTTTAACAATGCACACCAGAGAGCCACTAACTCAGTCTACTAACAGATGGTTTACATAAGCAACATATTTACTTAGCTGAAAAACTTGGGGGAGGGAGGCCTGGGACTCAATCTATTGTCTGTTTTCAATGCACCTAACTATAACTCAGCCTTCAAAAACAGTATTTTCTCTGAATTTTTGCTTCTCTGCACTATATTTTGGAAGAAAGAATATCAGGATCAAATGCAGACACTGCTGTACACTTAGGTATCATCTGAGAACTCTACTTTCATCCTGGAACCTTTACAGAAAGTAAACCATAAAGGAGCCCCTTCCTCCTAAACAGCCTGTAGTGGACATTTCTATAGATGTCTGCACTTTTTTCATCTGTGATGGGAATAGCAAATGTTTAAAACTAAATAACTAACAGGTTCTAAAAAGGGTTGTGGGCGGGAAAACCTTCCCCAGTGTACACAGATTGTACAGCATGTCTGCTCAGAAACCTTTACTGGTAACCTCATCACCCATCCGACCTGCTCCCAATTATATGTGGATTCAAGTCACAGAATATCTCATGATTAGAAAAAGAAAGTGCTTGATATACTCTTCTATATGGCATAACTTGAGCAAGAGTTGGCTCAATAGGCAGGCCCCACTCAGACCAGCTGCCAGGTGCACTGTGCCCATGTTCAGCTGCCAGCCTCCTCTCAGCTGTGCTCAGTACACAGCTTCTACTTCCTTGTTCATCTTCAACTCTGTGGCCAGCATGAAAATGTTTCGGGTAGCTGCTCTTTTTTCTAGTTTGAATCAAGCTTTTAATAGTGTGTTAAGATTCCATCTAAAAAGTATACCTAACACAATTCCAAGGGTTGTGATATAACTGTGATTTCTATCAAAATGATGAGAAACTGCAGTGAATATATCAAACCATTGCATGAACACCTTTAGGAGCTATAAATTCACCCCAGCCAACTTTGTTCCAATGAACGTGTTTGCCTTTGTGGGAAATTAACACTTTCAGGATAACTTGAAGTCCCTCCTGAATAAAACTCAAACACATGGCCAGTACACTGACCACTCCAACAGGCACTAAGCTCCAGACTACTAGAAAGGACCAGGATCTTTTTCATATTTAATTTATATTTTTAAATAATTATAGATTTATAGGAAGTTACAAATATAATAATACAAGGACTTGTATACTTGAGCCCAGTTTCTCCCAATGGTCACATCTTTCATAAATACAGGGCAATGTCACAACTGAAAACAAAAACAAAACACACGAGTACGATGTGTGTCTGTGATTAGACTGGTTCCATTACTGTGCCTGACGCTCATAATAATCCCTCGCCACAGTGTGTCTAGGATCATACACGGACTTCAGTGACCACAGCAGTCACACAGCTATGCCAAAGAGGAAAGCAAATCAGGAACGCAACTTAGGAAATGGCAAACTAGAAAGTTCTTATCTCCTGCCACAGCTTGACTTTTCAATGCTTCCCCCGAGTCTTGATGCTATGGGGGGCGGGGGGTGATGGAAGCTTTAAAAGGTAGGGCCTAGTGGGAAGTCTTGCCCACTGGGCAGTGCCCTTGAAGTGCCCTTACTGAGAGCTAAGCACCTTCCTCCTCCTTTTTCACCTCCTGGCCCTCAGGTGAGCAGCTTTGCTGGTCGTGCACTCCCACCAGTCTATGCTGCCTCGCCTGGGGCCCAAGAGCAAGAGGCCAGCCACACATAGACTAAAACCTCCAAAACTTTTTCTTTATAAGTTGACTACTTTAGATACTTGTTATAATAACAGAAAGCTGACTAACATCTGCCTCATCCCTTTTTTGTTTGTTTGTTTAGCCTGTTACTAGCCTAAGAAAATAACTCTTAGACTTTGAATGATTAATTTGCACCCAGCTAAGAGGACTTTAATTTACAGAGAAACCATATCGAAGTTATTATTCTTATCACTACATAGATCTCTATCAAAATTGTCAACTAAAAATGCCTTTTTACTTGACACCTGTTGAGTGTAATGGAACTGATCAATCCATTAAATGTACCCTAAGTATGAAAGGCTTCAGAAACTGAGTTTGTGTGTGACATAAGAATGACTTAGGCCCACTAATTTAGAGACCTTCTACGCCAGCACAAGTCACATCACCAGTAAGGCTATCCAAAATGCTAAGGAAAGAAGGACCCTTAGATTTTTTAGGATTTTTAGAAAATTTACATATATCTATCGAGATATTTTCAGGATGAGACCCAAGTACATTTTAATTTAATATATGTACCTTATTATTCACATAGCCTGGAGGTGGTTTTTAAAATATTTTTAGTGGACTTGTGTTTTTATTTTACTGTACATGAAAGTGAAGGCAAGGGTGCTCTATCGCTATTCTACATCCCCAGTCCTTTTTATTTTTTTACTTTGACACATATTCTCACTAAATTGCCAAGGCTGAACTTGTGATCTGCCTGCTCAACCTCCTGAACTACTGGGTTTAGGGCACCCAACTATGTACCCATCACATGAGTCAGGTGTGGAATTTTCCATTTGTGGGTGTTAAGGTTTAGATCTAAACTGTTTGCCAGAAGTCTCACATTTGGAGGTAGGCCCTGCTCAGAAAGAGCAGGTCACTGCAGGTGTAACTTGGAAGGGTGTCTTCTCATCCCCTGTTCCTCGCTTCTCTCTCTGCCTCCTGACCACCAGGTCATGAACAGCTTTCCTCCAACAGGCCCTTCCACCATGCTGCCTTGGAGCTGACCAAACATGGACTAAACCCACTGGGAACTGTGAAGCAAAATAAACTTCTCCTCCCTGAAGTTGTGTGAGGTATTCTGTCCCAGCAATGGGAAAGTGGCTAATATAGTGGTATCATGTTGGTGCTCAAAAAAGTTCCAGTTTTGGAGCATTTCAGACTCAGGGAACCATAAGCAAAAATCATTTTAGGACTAGGCATGATACAAAGCTATAATCTCAGCACTTAGGAGCTGTGGCAGGAGGATCACTGCAAGTTCAAGGCCAGCCTGGGCTACATAGTAAGTTCAAGCACAGCCTGAACTACACAGTGAGACCCTCTCTCAATAAAAGAAAAAAAAGAATCATTTTAGGACATTTCAGCAAAATGATCCCAGTCAAGATTGATTTGCTCAGCTTTCTATCAGAAACAAACCTCACTTTGCAGCATTCCTGTGTAAATTCAGTGCCACGAGAAATCATGAAAGCAATGGACTAC